ACACACACACACACACACACACAGAGAGAACCTCATCATGTACAACCAATGTCAGAAATCTAAGTGCAATTTGTATATAGTAATATATCTTGTTTAACTTATCTTTACTCTATATTCTTCATTTTTCATGCTTGTTGATTATCTTGCTGTTGCAATGCTGTTAATTTCCCAATAAAGGAATTCTGATTCTGGTTCTTTCACTGAGTTTCCTGGAAATCTGTTGACTAGTAATCCTGCTGAAAAGCCAACAAACAAACGAACACCAGACAGGGGTCAAAACATAACCTCGCTGGTTTATAGTGCAGCTGTTGTCACACACACACACACACACACACACACACACACACACACACACACACACACACACACACACACAGACAGCTCCGAGCCCAGCAGGAGTCTTTACCACCACTGGAATGATAAGGACGATACAGGCCGCCGCCTATGGGAGGATTTTTCTTGTTACACCCTCCAACCTTCACCTCTGTCTTAAATCACCCCCCCACCCTCTCTCAGAATTCATTAAGGTTAAACCATCCTTATCACCACCTCAACCCACCATCACTATTACCCTCCCCCTCCCTGCTGAGACACCAAGGAGAAGTTGCCACAAATAAATTCCCATCAGCTGCAACTCCGTCATGACCAGCTGTCGTCTCATCCAGGAGCTTCTGTTTTACTCTCTTCAGATGTTGCAGGCGATGATCATCATAGCTCGGTCATAACAATCATGCTCCTACTGCAGCTTCTGCCATAACAATCATAATCCACCATTTTACCATCAAAGCTTAGCTGTTACCCTTCAGTGTCGTTATCAATTCACTTCAGAACTTACAAATACCTGCAGTTCAATAACCATAAGTTTTGATTTTCATTAAACTCTGTGCCACAGCTTTGGCATTACCACAGTCATGAGCACCACTTCTGCATGAACAACACAGATAAGGATGTTTGAACTTAGTTTCTATGGTGAAAATGAGATGGCAGAGTTCACACCTCAGCTAAGGCCTCAACGGTCCCCGAATTGAAACCACATTCAAATGATCTATATCCATATTTTAATTTGGACCTGCACTAAGTTGCACACAACCGTAAATATCAGTCCTTTAAAGATACCAGAGTATTTTTCATCAAGATCAATTAATTCTTCTTCACCCTATCTTGCGATATTCCTGGATCCGCCCACTGCTCCAGATCCACTCCAAATTGTAATGGTTTCTTCCCAAATACAAACAGAAACATCTTTAGAGTAAACGAGGGGTATCATCAACATTTGAGAGCAGAATATGAGTTTGGCGTCTGTAAGTACCTGAAGTGAGAAACACTGTAAATATCTGACACCTTTCACCTCTAATCTTATTGTTGGTAAACGCTCAGAGACTCTGTCACTGAGCCAAACGATCACCATCAATCTCTGCACCCGAGAGGAGTGAAGACGATGAACATAAGGATGATGACAGTGTAAAACACACGACTGCTCCAGCAAACTGAAAAATAATCAAGCCCCTCAATCCACTTCCTCTGTCTCCACACACACAGACACGTTACACTCAGCAGAAATCATTTATTTTGCTCCCTTTACATTGTCAGTAGAAAATCTTACAGACACGACGTGACAGACAAGAAAACATGAAACACCTGGACAGGTAATAAAATCAGACACTTCATAGAACCACGTAAAAAAATCATGATGGAGGAAATGTAAACATACATAAAAAACAATGACAGTAAATTAGTAATGCTCAGCTCATTTATGTTATTAAATCAAGTTTTACACCTACAGGGAAGAATAACATCATGACATAAATATGGTAATAAGAGGCCAGAAGGTAAACTGTAAATACATTACACACACACACACGCACAGACGTGCAAACACACACACGCACGCACACACACCTCAAGAGGGTTGACATGGATCCTATTTAGCCTGATAGTAAAACAACAATATTCTACATAAAACAAGAAACAGTATAAAGGATCTTGACATGCAATTCTCATAAATTCAATGTAACACATATTCTGGAGATTGCAGACTTGCCTAAGGAGAATTTTTAATATTCATGAAAAATAATAAGGACTGATCATTGAGGCTAAGAGTATTTACATAAGACAGACGTGTAATTGCTGACAGAGGGTCAGTCTATTGACTTGGATAGGAAGTGAAAAGTGCTTTTAAATCCTGTATGCGGAGAGGATGTCCTCAACCAGGTGCTTGTAGACCCAAGCGTCTCCTTTCAGCCTCTGGCGGCGGACCCCGACCACCTCTGGCCTCTGCAGTAGGCACACCTCCAACTCAAATGCCATCGTCACCTTCCCAAAGTCGCCCCAGGTCTGACACTTGAGCGTATATCTGAATGTAAGGCAATAAAACACCCAGAAACATTAGGATTTGAAAACCGAGTCGTCTGGTCAGAAAATAAAGGGGAAATATAAGTTAACCGATAGAAGGTTTGTGCTCTTACCCTTTCTGTGTGAAGTCGACGTTTTTCTCCGGCAGGATGGAGAGGATCTGATTAAGTACCTGGTCCGGGTTCGTTTGACTCGTCAAAGTCACGTTGTATTGTGCCTACAAGAAAACACACACTGATCAACAACGCTGCCTCGTAATGTAAAAAGGATTTAAATATTTGTATTTAAGTCATTTACCAAAAAAAACAACAAAACTTTATTTGGTTCCAGTTTTGAGGATTTACACTTCTCTCTGTTTTAAACCATTATAAATGAAAACTTTTTTAAATATTGCTCAATTTCAAGATTTAATGTTGTCAAAGGCAGTTTGAAACATTTTTCCTTCGACTCATCGTCTTATCAATGAATCTATGGAGACCATAACTGTCTGTAGCACTGTGCTTACGTGCGACAAAGCACAGGTGACTCAGTCTTCCTGCCTACCTTGATCTTGCGAGGGCCGTCCCGCAGGGCTCGTCTCTTGCTGGGAGTGAGCATGGTGATCACCTTATCCAGACCTCTCTCCAGAGAACCAAACACCTTCCCTCCTCTCTTCTTCTTTCCGCTGTCTCCTGTAACTGCCATGTCCAAAGACCGAGACCTGCCGAGCAAAAGGAGGCATGTAATCGCTCCCGGTTGACATCTGATCCAAGTTGCTCTCACCTGTCCCTGACAGAAGCTCACATATTCTTTCAAAAACCTTAGACATTAAAACAGTAACTTTTCATTCTTGTGCCCTGTAGCATTTCTGTATGGTTCTTGACATCATTTAAGTGATTCAAACTGTCTTATCAGTGAGTCGTGCTGTTGATGGACATGCATTTAGGTTTGGAATAACAATTTTGGTTCAGTCTGTGCAGCCCATGGGCCACCATAAAATATCCAGTAACCACAGATGTGTGAACTTCAGTCTTCCCTGAGATTTAGGCTTTACACTGTGCTCATACACTTCCTCCCCCTTTCTTTCTCCTCTCAGCCTCACCCATCCCTCAGGTCTCTCACCTTCTCTCAGGACTGAAAGCCAATATTTCAATGTTTGCAGGCTCCTTGTTCTCGGCTGTTCTCTTCTTGGTGTGTTCTTTAGAGCCACTGCCTCCATCTACAAGACGCAAAGGAACACAAATGATTTAAACAAGCTCAGCAACTCCTGAGAGGAAATAAAAAAGGGGAAACTGTATAGGATTTGGATTAAATGTACAAAGTCATGATTGCAGCTCTTTGATTGTATGCATGGAACTAACTGACTTTCACTCTGGAGTAGTGGACACAAAGACTTTGGTGTACACAAACATAACTAGTCTGACACACACACACACTTCTATCTTATTGAGGACACTCATAATGGATTTGCCAGCCCCTTACCTTAACCATCACAACTAAATCCCTGACCTTAACACTAACATAAACCCAAGTATTAAACCTAAAACAAGCAATTTAAATAGTGAGGACAAGCCAAAATGTCCCCACTTGCCAAAAATGTCTTCACTCCGTAAGCTCTATGCTCAAAATGGTTCTCACAAGTATACAAGTACACACACACACACACTCACAGGTAGGCTTTAGTGGCAGGAGAACACATGTCACTACAGCCCACGAGGGGCAGTGAGCAGAGGAAAGAGACAGCTACACCTGTCACAGCACACGCCTGGGGACAGACCACTGTGCTCGCATGTGTGGACAAGTATGTCAGAGGCAGCATGTCTGTGCTGTAGACATGCTGCGCCAGAACAGGCGACTGTAAAGAGAGCAGGACCGAGCCGGGACACTTTAACACCAAAGAGGTCTGTGGTGGAGCGTTAGCTCGGTGGTGGTTGAGTTTATAGTGGAAACTAATGAGGCTGGACATCTGAGCAGAGGACTCACCTTGACAAATAATTAAGACTTTAATGATTCTCCATTCATATTAGTGTCCTTCATTTACAGATAAGTGAATAGAATTAGCTTTTCTGATAATAACCTCACCTTTGAGTTGACAGTGATAAGTGTGTGCGTGTGTTGTCCATTCACAGTGGCGTAATGACAGCTAAATCATAGAAATATGAGTGGCTTTGGGATAAAAACAGGTCCAATAAATGAGTTTATTACCAGAAGACAATTTACTTGCAAATGTGTGGCATGTGGATGTGGCACTTGTGATTATGAGAGCTGCATGAGACGGGGAGAGGGACAGATAAATGAAACAGGCCATTGTGCAGAGGGCCAATTGGCTGAAGCTAATAATCTAATGGAGATTGGTCTTAAAGCTTTTTTTTGGTTTGGAACAAAAACAATTACAGCACAAACACAAATTGCATTTTAAACTGAGACTACAGCCATTTGTTGAGTAACCAAGAGATTCTTTTTACCTTTAGGTGTGAGGGCGTTGTTTTTGCCGCTATTGACGTTAGTATTTTGATTGGGCGTGGTCAACACATTCTTGTGGCGTGCATTCTTCCTACTGGACACTGGAGTTCGAGGAGGAGGCAACACAAAAATGTCAACAACTTTCTCTTGAACAGCAATATTCTCCTTGTTCTCAGTGGTTTGCTCTAGTTCTCTGTCCCTCCTCTCCTGGCGGTGCTGCGTGGTTGTCCGCCCCCTCTCTGGAGTCGGGCTGTAAGCACATCTTCTCTCCACTGATGGAGATGCCAGTCTCTTTAGGAGGAAGAAATGTGGCATGAGTTTATTTTTCCAGAAGACTTATTAAACATGGCCCAACAGAGAAGTTTTTATCCAAACATGCTCCTTTTTCTGAGCCTTCCCTGATTAGGACACAAGTCAAAAACATATAACTCTCACACACCTTGTTGCTTGCACATCCGTCTGGTTGCCCTCTGACCCCCTGGGGTGTGTGTTGTTTGACTGACAGCCAGGGACAGTCATCAATGTACTCCGAGCCAAAATCCAAAGAACCCACAATCACAGCATCTTCATCCTCGCTATAATGAAGAGCTTCCCTTGTCTGAAAGAAAGACAGGAAATCAGAAATGGAGAAAACAGGAGGAAAACATTTGACACTTATTGAAAGACGCTTTGGATAAAAGCTTCAGCTAAATAAACTGTAATGTAATGGTAAAGAGTGGGTAAAACGCAGGGCACACAGCAGAGAATTGTGGTCCTGAGTCTGACCTGTAGTCCCTGTTGTGAGGGAGAGCAGGAGTCCTCGCAGACAGTTGGTTCAGGGCGCAGACGGACAGGTTTTCCCCTCTGTTTCTTCGACAGCAGCAGCAGGTAGGTGGCTGTGGTATGGTCATACCGCCACTGTGGGGGGTCAACATGTATGAAAACAAGGTAAAATATCATGTTGACACGACGTCCAAATTTTTGAATTTCTATATATAAACACATAATGAGTTGACGGAGATCTGACCAGCATAATAAACGTCATTGTCAACATTAAATTGTGCGAACATAGTGGCACACACCTCCGTCACCAGTGCTGTGGTGCTCTCTCTCGATCGCTTCATGTTGACTGCCATCTCAGTGATGCAGTCCTCATCTATGTGACCAAGCTACAAACAGAACACAAACTGATCACTGAAAGTACGAGACAGACACGTTCTTTAAATGTGTGAAAACTAAAAGAACAGTTCTCAAAAAAGAATGTATTATATATTTTCTGTTGAGGATTGTGGTGCTGTTTTATGGAAAAGTACTTCTGCTGTGACTGGAGCTAATTGGAGAGAAATAAACTCACAAACAGAATCAGATACTGAAGTGTTTGTTATTGTGCATTTCTTTTGTATTAATGTGAAAATATAGATTTATTACACAGCATATATGTGTGTGTTTGTGTGAGCGTACCGGCTGCCTGCTGAACCACTCCACAGGGCTGTTGTAGTCTTTCAGCACCCAGGGATGGTCCAGCAGATGGCGAACAGTAACACGCCGCTTGGGGTCCACCTACAGGACACACACAGAAACTACAACTGAATTTGCAACATAATACACACTCAAGCAGCCCGATGTTTCTGAAAATCCCAATTTCTTTCCAAGTTCAATTTAAATTCAAGCAGATCAAATCCAGTGGTCTATCATTAAATGATACAAAAGTCAGCAAAACTGAAAAAATAAATCATGTTGAGGTAAACGAAGCTTTGAAAGTTAATGCAAATAATTCTTAAAGTTGTCCCATCTTTAGTGGATTATTTACAAACTCTGTTTACACAAGTAGTGATGCAACAAACTGCGTTACTGCCTCTGATGGGTTATTAGGACAATACTGTGTGGTATTCTGCAATCAGAATTTTATGTAATGTAATTTCAAAGTCATGATTAAATTATGGAGGACCGATCTGAGCCTGTCCTGGTTTTCCAGTCAGATTCTGATAAAAATGTTGAAATTATATTTGAGTCTGGGTCGGTGTTGTTGGCAGAACGTTAGTTTTCTCTCTGGCTTTTAGAGGATCAGACATGGATTGAGTTTAACTGTGAAAAACAGTGGAGACCATGAAGCCTCATGAGAGGACAATAAATAAAAATAGATAAGCGGAAACTGAATAACCAAAGGATTTACCTGCATCATCTGGTTGAGGAGGAGGACACTACCTGGAGAGAGCCACCGTGGGTTATCGTATTTACCTCTCTGAAGATTAAACACATAAACAACCACATTATGAAACAGAAATACATCATAAACATAAAAGTTTCCCCAATTTAAGGATTCCTTTAAGTGGTAATATAATACAATACAATATAAAAACAATTATAGTGATTACCTCCAAATATTTAGCAGCAATGCAATAATTTTGTATAATTTTTATACAAAGAATGTAAAATGTCACCAACAGCAGCTCACTTACCATTATCTTCCTGTAGAGGACCATGCAGTTTTCATCATCGAAAGGCAGGTATCCACAGAGCAGAGCGAACAGCAGCACCCCCATACTCCAAACATCAGCCTGGAGGTTACACATCACACAGCAATATTCCAACTTTAAGTGATACAGCCAGGATTTCACAGCTCAGTTGCACAGAGTCATGCACCAGTGAATATGCTCAAGACACCATGAAAAAGCAGAATTGTGGAACAGGCAACAGCCTAAGTGAAAAAAATTAAGTGTTGTGGGTTTAAATAAGGGCAAATCTTGAAAATGCCACCCCAATGGTTCTAAAAGTTATAAATAGCACACAGTGGACCTCTCTTACCTCTGAGCCGATATACGCTTTTCCCTGGATGAGTTCAGGGGCAGCGTAGGCAGGGCTCCCACAACACGTCATCAGCTCATAACTTAGACCTCCCTAAGAGAGAGACAACCACCGGATAGTCCGATCACACAAATGCATGCGCATACTGGGTTTGTATTCTTTAATGTGTATCAGAGCCAGACTGATACTGCAGATGGGGCCAATGCAGATTTTAGGAATTGAA